TGTCATTTTTCAAGTTTTTGCCACCTGTGTAATTAGAAGCCATAAATAACACTACCAAAAAAACAACGAAAATTACATACTCCACAATGTCGATACGCGCAACAACAATAGTAACTACAGAAACAGCTGAAGAGCGTAACGATCGCCAACAATTAGCGGCAAATTAATTTCTTTATTATTTTGTTTTATAACCGTAAATGGCTAGCAGTTATGTCGGGAAGTTATGTTTTGTGTTTTAAAATTGTTGTTGCCTTTTTACTTTCAAGTATTTATGCAGACATACAGACATATGCGCATATGTATTCATTATTAATGATCATATTTCATGCTTTTTGTTGTTGTTTAAATATTTTTGAAATTAAACATAACTCAACGCTAATTATGTGCAACAACATTGGTCTCAGTGCGTTGAGAATAATGACAGCCGAAAGCAAGGCGCGTAAAAGGTAGGCTGAGGGAAATTAAATTTTCGAAAGTTGTTTTTGTTCTTTCCAATTTTTTTTATTTTAGTATTATTTTTTTAACGATAGGTACAATGAACCATTGTGCAGCGCTTGGGTTAGGAAAACTTGTATTGTAAGAATATGAACGCTGTAATTGCTGAGTGATGAATGATGACTAAGTTAAAGAATCATAAAAGAAACTCTGTAGAAATTAGTTTAAGCGCCTTTAAGGTTGGAAAGTTGGGTTTTACTGCATTTTTTTATTGCTTGTTACTTTGGAAAGTATTATATTTTAATGCGCTAAAAAGCGAGTAAGTGGGTTCAAACAGCTTGTTTAAGCCTGGTAAAACAAATGGAGAGCAAATATAAAGAATTGAAATTATATATAAATAAATATGTAAATGTCAAAAACATATTTTGAGACTGAAAATTTTTTCCCAAGTATTTTTTTGTATGAGAAAGTCGAATTTTTAAACAACTTTAGTACATTAATTTTGAAAGAGCTAGCTCTATTTAAAGTTCCGCAAACATAATCATTTTTTTTATATTATAAACAAGTTGAACGAAAGTTTTTTAGAATATCAAAAAAAAATTTTTTAAAGAAAGCGTTATTAAGCGCATGAATGTGAAAAGAGCAACGCTGCATTTTCATTGGCCAGCTGTCGATTTTGCTCTCGCTGTCAACATGCTTGCTATTATGAGCCTTGAAGTGAGCGTTAGTAATATTAAGAGATTATATAAGGAATTCACTAAGGCGGAAGGCAGTATTTTATATTTTCAATTATTTTGTCGGATGATACTTCAGATTACTTGAGAATAAAATACAGTTATGAAGATAATTTTAAAGCGTTAAAGCATAGAATTGAAAACCAGAAATATCAAGAATTTTTGTTGAAATCATGAACTGAATATCTATAGTTTATACTTTTGAACATAAAGAAACAAATTTTAGAAAGAAGAAAGTATTGGTTCGGCGTTTTTTTATTACATTATTAATTCAGAAAGAAAAGACTTGCATTTCCATAAATTTTTTAAATAGTTTGATAATTTAACTGAAATATTTACAATATTTTTAAAATATTGTTTGTTTAAAACAAAAAAACCTGACTGAAAAATAACTTTCAACTTTGTTGGATACTTCGTTGGGTTTCAAGCAAATCACCAGCTTAAAGTTTAGTTTAAAAATATCAGTAAATAAATCCAAAGCTATTCAAAAATTGCAAAATTTTCTCAATAAAAAAATCTTCATATTGCCTTGAAATCAACCGCAATTTGTTCTACAAGTTAACCGCAAACAATAACAAATGGGAATTGAGTGTGTTTATATGTATAACATTAAGACATAAATCTAGCCATAAATATGGAAATGTGCCTCTAAAAATATATTTCGAACTAATACATGCTTTTACTATGACTACGACTATTTATTGAATTATGAAGGAAAATTCTACTGAAATCCATTGACTTACATCTCCATCAGAGCAAGCTTATGCGTTCTACAATTTGAATACAAATTGAACTAGTTGTAAACCAGTGACGAACTGGAATATATAAAATCTAGGCTCAATTATTGTAAAAAAATACTTAAGACTGAGACTTTTGCCGCTACAAAAGATTTGAGAAATAAAATAGTATCAACTAGTATGTGGAGCCTTGCGTAATATTGGTATTTGAATAATGGTTTTAGAAAACATCTTTGTTAATCAACGTTACATTGTATACCCTGTACATGGTAAAATCGTATTAAGTTTGCCATGATGTTTGTAACACCCAGAAGGAAATGCCAGGGACCTCATAAAGTAGATGTATGAATGATCAGCGGAATGAGCTGAGTTGATTTAGACATTTCCGTCTGTCTGTATACACGTAGTATATCGTATATATACTAAGTCCTTGAGTCCCTGAGTTCTTGAGATACCGGTCTGAAATATTGCTGCTCATTTGTCGGAACTGAGGGTATTGAACTACTATCCATGGAGTTGCCATACAGATTGAACGAACAAGATATCTTCATGAAATTTAGAAGCGATTATTGTTCAAAGCAACGCTTTAATATCTGAAGAAATTCTTTAGATCGGACTACTATAGCATATAGCTGTCATACAAACTGATCGATCACACTCAAGTTCATGCAGGAAAATTTTTTAACTTGATGAGCTATTTTCACGAAATTTGGCAAGATTTACAATCTCATATATAGCTGCCATATAAACTAACCGATTACAATCAAGTTCTTATATCGAAACTTTTGATTTCTGGAGCTTTCGCTTGGCTGCCGTACCAAGCGTTTTTTTTTGTTTCTTTAAAACTATTAATATTTCTAAATTTTTATAAAAATTTCAAAATCGCTTAAGCTATATATATATATATATATTATATATTTTGCTTGAACTTAATTTAAAAATTGTTTCCAGAACTTTGGTTATGATTTGCCTCAAGTTATTTGTATGCCAAAAAAATTATTGGCTTAAACAAAATTTGAAGTGGTGAAAAACCAATTTTTATTGCATAAATCCTTGAACTTCCCCTAAAGGAAAAGTTCTGAAGTTTGAATGATTTTATAATAATTTTTTTTTACAAAATTTTTTAAATTATCTAAATGTTTGCGAACAGCGCAATTAATATTATTATATAGTTTCTACGCACTTATAATTTAAAAAGCGACTGATTTAGTATAATTTTATGTTTCTTAATTACTTAAAACTTTATTTATGGCTCAGCAAAATTTATGGCATCAATAAAGGTCCATATTCTATGATATATAATTTTATGTTATAATAATTTTAAATTATATATTTTAATAAGGTTTAAATAATTTTTTGAGAGTTTCCAAAAAGTTTGAGTTGGTTTAGTATATATGAAATTTTCAAAAATTTTATTAAATTATTTATGAAACAGCCAAAATATTTTGAAACGAGAAATTGCAATTATTTTTATAAATTTGCTTAAAAATTTTTTCCTATTTTTTATTTTAAATTACAATTTTAAAATTTTAAAAATTTAATTTCAAAATTTTGTGTCTAAAATTTTTCCGACAATTTGTGGCTGTATATAACTACTCATAGCGCAAAATGTTTAAGACAACTATGTTGAAATATTATTTTAATAGTTTGTAGATTTTGAAAATAACAAAATTTTTTCCAAAAAAATTATTTTTAATTTGACTAAAATGTTTAAAAAAACTGCACAGAATTTAAAATCGAAAAGAAAACCAATATATAAATTCTAACTCCTTTTATTTTTAACTAAAAATTGTCAATTTAAAACTATTAGAGAACAAAATTTTTCAAAATTTAAAACTCAAAACTTTTTATTTAAAATTCAAAAGTTTTAAAAATTTCATTTAAAATTGTTTGTTTGTTTATAAACGTTTTTACAAAATTTTTGGTTGCTTTTGAAAATAACAAAATGTTATAATTTGTATCACTTGAAAAAGTTTTGTTTTTTGAATAAAAAAAATCATAATTTTCTACTAGGTTAAGTTACATGGCTGCTTCCTCAAGATGGCGGGGATCTCACTTAGTTTTCCTCAAGGAGTTTGTAATATTTGAATATAAGCAAAATTAATATTTTTCCGTTTCTATGTCTGTCTTCAATAATTAAAAATATAGTCTTTTGAGCAAAAAAAAAACCTGCATTATAAAATTTAAATTGCTGCTGCTATTACTAGGAAACAAGAAATACAAAATTCAATTACATTAGTCGCAATGTCATTCACTTTAGTTTTTATTTTTCGTGTAAATTAATTTCGTAAACGCTAGCCAGCGCAACATAAAAGTAAAACAACTGCCGCCTTTGCAGCTTTTAATAACTCAAAACGCCGCTGCCAACACCAAACATTTATAAATAACATTTGTTTTTGTTGTTGCTAGCATTCTTATATTTTCATATTTCGTTTGTGAAATATTTGCTACTCTACTTAATTTTTATTTTATTTTTATTTTTATTCTTTTTAACTTTTCTGCCTGTCGCATTCGCGTATTTCATTTTTCATTCGCCCCTAACACCGCTGTTAAACAAACAAACACACACGCACACATTTGCGCTTTGGAAAAATATTTCTCAATTTATTTAATATATTTTGCTCAACGTCACCAGCGCGTTTATCTGTTATTGCTGTTTGTTTTACTACTTTGCGCTTAACCGCTTTGTGGCTGACTGCCTTTTGGCCGTGTCTCTCACAGTGCGCTGGCAGCCGCGCGCAAAGTTGGTCAGAACAGTCAGAACTGGTTGACTGTGGAGTAGGGGTAAATGGGGGTGCCGGCCGGTGTGTGAAACAATGGCAACGCCTGCGAAACGTACCAGCCAAGCGTTTTGAAGCTTAAATCCAGTTTTGGTGTTGCAGGTACTAGCCAGCAGGCCAGGCACACAATGCAACAAGTTTCGAAAGCTGTACTGTTTAATGCTCAGCTGCAGCCAGCAATAATTATAATCAGTTTTTTCATGTCAAAAAATTATATTTTTCTAAAATAATTTTTTTCTACTAATTATTTTTCGTAAATATTTTGTTTTCTTAATTTTAGCTTATGAACAAGTAGTAATTCGTGTAACACCAACCATTTATTGCACGTGCACCTGCGAAATCTGTAAATTTTCCGGCTGACACACTTGCCAAAACTCGCTGGCTGCTGGTAAGGCGCTCGTTAACACACACGCACACGCGTACAAATGCCAAAAAGCGTTTTGACAGCGCACGAAAATTGTCAAAAGTCGGTACGGCGACACACTTTTTGTGTGTGCTTTGGTTGCAGTATTTTCAGGAAACTTCTTAGCTTTTTTGTTTTAACGCGCACTTTGCACACTATTTTTTTAGATATATTTGCAATTTATTTTTTTTTAATAAAAATAAATTCGTTTGTTCGCAACGCGCGGCGTTCTGTACGAATTTTCTACGTTTTTTTATATTTTTTTAAAATATTTATTTGTTTCTTCACACACAGTATAGAGCGCAGCGTCACCACAGAAGCGAAGAAACGAACACAACGCAAGCGAATGCCAAATAGTACTGAAGTTGCGTACACTCGCGCGTTCAACAATCGCATCAACTCGGTGCGCTGGCGTTTGCCGTTACTAGCTGCTACGATGTTCGAAAATTTTTCGCCTCCGCTACTCCTCGTCGTCGTCTACTGCTTGCTTTTGCCTCGCGTTAAGTTGTTTGAATTGTACTCCAAGTAGTTTTTGGTTTTGAGCGTTTTGCCGTTGTTCCAACTGCGCGCTGCGCTGCCAATGTTGATACTAAATGCCAGCGCCGCGTCATTATTTCGATAAAGTATCTCACAGATACAATTGGAAATGTTGCGCGCTGGTGTTGGTGCTGGCGGTGGTGAAGGTGGTAGTGACGTTGCGGCTAGCAACATGCCGGCCTGTGTATGAGAGAGTGAATGTTGCAGAGAGCACACGGAGATGTTTATAAGCATTTAGTGTTGCCGTGAGTTGATTGCAAACTAGTTGGGCCGTGCATACCGTGAAGGAAGTAAGGATGTAGGCCGTTGTTCTATCTTTTGACTTATTATTATCTCCAGTTATTCTTCTTGATAAGCCATCTGGTTAGAGCATTCCGAAATAGGCCTTGATGAGTAGCCGGTTCTACGTTACTGGAATTAACCCAGATTTTATCCGGCCAAACGCTGGATTTCTCGTGTCTTGGGAATTATGTCACTGTTGGCACCTATAAATTTGAAGCAGATCCCCCGCCCTACGAACCCACCAGACCGTTGACGAAACGAGATGAAAAAGCTCTTGGAGCACTCGAGAGAACTGTTCCCCTCAAGATGTTTAGAGCCCTCCGCGTGAGTGATGAATATTGAAGAAGATGGAACCATGAATTATATGAGCTCTATTGCGACATGAACGTGGTAAGCGTATGAAAAGCCAACGAATGCGCTGGTTAAAACATGTCGTTCGCATGGAAGATGATGCTCCAGCAAAAGCTCTTTCGATTCGAGAGCCATGGATGGCCCACAACTGGCGTGACCTCGCAAAGGATAGAGGCAACTGGTGTTCTCGGCCGGATCGGTCTGGTTGTAGACCCAAAAAAGAACAAGAGCGCCTGTTATTTCGAGAATCTAACTCTAAGTACTGAAATTTTGAATAAACTCTCTCAAGCCACTATTCATTTAAATCAGTAATTTTCATCAAATGGTGTCTACTTTATCAGGGCGTTGCAACTCAAGATCTAAATGGTATATTTTTTGAGTTTATTTCATCGAGAATGAAATAATGGAATAAAGCGTTAATTGAGAATCCTGGCAATAGAGAAATTCATTCAATATTCATGATTCTGTTAACGACGATAATATCGGAAAAGTCGAAGAAATTTAGCGCGAAAGTGTTGCAATTAGCATAAAAGAGGTAGTGGAGGCTCGTGAATGGAGTTTCCAAGGTGAATGTATATATGTTGTGAACCCTGCCTATCATTAGGCTTCAGTTCGACTGACTTGTCCTACGGTATTAGTCGGTCTCTTTGGTTGTTCTTGTTGTTGTAGCGAGTGCCTAACTCTATTTTGGATAAAAGTGAAGTCTCATCGAAAACACTTAGCGGAAAAGGTTGGTAGGTGAGTGGGTTTATCGAAGCATTCAGAAAGGTGGTGATTGTCAGGCGGGACAGGACATGAGTTTTGTATGAGGGGGTCTTTTCTGGATAAGTAGGTGTTTAACCTGCAACAGGATTTAGAAGGAAGTTGCTAAGGTCTTTCATTCCAAGGACGCAATTCACTGGAAAGGAGTCGATGAAGGTTTTGATGGAATGTCGTTCAGTACATGTTTGAAGATCTAATCAGCCGGTTCCCTCGATCTTCAACTATGCTTGTTAGCTATATTTATTTGTGCGCTGTTATGGTTACAAGCGCTTTAAGCTTCAGACACTTGCACTTCGAGTTCCGGGACTATTGTAAATGTCATAGTAATCTCGATAGTGTTCCAAGAACTGTCTGTTTCTTGGAGGATTCAAAGTATGGCGTTTCTTCAACAAATTTGGAGCTGTTATTGTTGTCATTTAGTTTTTTGGAAGAAAAATATAGTGAGTATTTTAAATCACGAAAGTTTTGAGAGAAATTAGGTAATTTGCAAATAACTGTTATTTTTGTATCTACTATTGCTCAGGCTGAGACCTTAAAGCTTAAGACTTAAAGTTAAAGAATTGTTTCTGCCATCTGGTTCTTTGAGCAGTAGTTGAACACAGGGCCATAATGCGCTCAACTCACTGACTAGTTGACGATATCGTTCAACTGAAGACCTTTCTGGCAAATAAAATCTCATTCCAAGTGAATTTCTGAAGTTAGAAAGATACTCATGATTATTTTTATAACCATAAAAAAACGGTATGAAGCTTCTGAGACCTTCAAGTAGCCAATTATTGATATTGTTGACTAAAAATAGTTGACTGTCAAATTTTGTTTATATGTACAAATATAAGTTTTTAATTTTTTATTTTCATTTAAATTCCTGCCTAACTGCAACTCAACAACACTATCGTGCCCCACTTAAGCAACATGCTGCCGTCGTGCATGAAACCGCCAACAACTTTACCTACCTTTAGCTACCACTTGCATTATCTATTTTCACAGCTCACTGAACACACATACAACAACACCTATTAGCGATGCTCAACAGGTGTACATGTTCGAAAAATTGGTGTCATTGTGCTCCGAGTTTGATGACATCATTCCATTCTCTACTTTGAGCACAATGTGATCAGCCGTCGCTTTGCAGCACACACGAACGGCCAGCAACATTTGAAGTAACTCGATGAGATAAAAAGAGAGTTGGTTGGTGAGCTTGCAACTGCGTGTGTGTAAACAGGTTTTATAAAGAGAAATTCTTGTGTGTCACTTTTCGAACTTCCAAGTGGAGTTTTGTGAGAGCGAGATGGACACTGTTGACATCTAAATATGCATTGTTTAGATATTTAGGTAGTGGTTGTCGAGTAGATAATTATGTTGCTGCAACATGTGTCTAAGTATGGAATTCTACTTTTAAAGGCTGGAGACAGAACTATTAAATATAATTAAATTTTAATTTTTATATTGCTCAAATATATTTTTATCACTTTTATATTCAGTTTATTATTTTTTAATGCTGCCAAAGATTAAAAATTTAAGAAGCCAATGTTTTTTAACAATTTTCAAAGTACAAGATTTATATTATTTTTTAAAGTAAAAAATGTTTAAGAATATTTTTTTTTTAATATTTCTTTGAAAAATTAAAAATGATTTACATATTGATATGGTTATTAAATTTTATAAAAAATATTTTTTTTTACAAAAATACTGATGATTGTATTTATTTATTTGAAATTTTCCCAAAATGTTGTCAAAAATTGTTTTTTTAATTTTTACTTATTTATAACGGTTCATCTGAAGTCAGTGAACGTCTACACACTCACGTCAAACACTCACACAACTAAATTTAGCAAATAATATAATAAATTTATTTCTCTTCCATCCATTCCTGGCGCTACTACACTAAAGGAGATCGTTCAGTGTTGCCACTTCGCATTTCTGCTCTAATATTTCTACTTAGAATTGCTGTTAGTATTGTGTACTAGGTAAACGAATTAATTGCAACATTGCATGCATTCATGCAACCATAAATCAGTTTGTAGGAAAGCGCATCAATTTCTGTTGCAACAACAACAACAACTACAGTATAAGCAAAACTCTATTACTAAACAACAACACAGCAGCATAAAAGCGGATAGTCATAGCAACAACAATGGTGGAAAACAATGGACCGTTATGTGTGCGGCAGAAGCGCCACAGGACAATTGCAACACAAACAAACACATGCAACATAAAGGATACAATTTAATTTATGAGGCAAATGGAGCAAAATTTGAAGAAAACGAAAATACATAAAAGCACCAACGAAATTGAATGGGAAAGAGAACTAAAATTTACAACAACAACACATAATAAACAACAAATAGTAAGACACCACGACAGTGCCATAAATAATAAATAAAAAAAAAAATTGGGTGCAAAAATATTAAAAAACAAGAAAAAGCGTTAACTTCGGTTGCGCCGAAGCTATAATACCCTTCACAAAAACAAAGGCCCTTTACAAGAACTTGATTCCGAACGTTCAATTTGTATGGCAGCTATATGATATAGTGATCTGATCTGACCAATTTCTGTGGAGAATAGTTTGTTGCCTTAAGCAATAACTCGTGCCTAATTTCGTGAAGATACCTCGTCAAATAAAAAAATGTTCCATGCAAGCACTTTACTCCGATCGTTCACTTAATATGGCAGCTATATGCTATAGTCATCCGATCCATACAATTTCTTCGGAGATTAGATTAATGCTTTAAATAATATTACATGCCAAATTTCGTGAAGATACCTCGTCAAATGAAAGAGTTTCCCATACAAACACTTGATTCCGATTGTTCAGTTTGTATGGCAGCTATACGCTATAGTGGTCCGATATCGTTCCGACAAATGAGCAGCTTCTTGGGGAGAAAAAGAACTGTTCAAAATTTCAGATCGATATCTCAAAAACTGAGGGACTAGTTCGCGTATATACAGACGGACAGACGGACAGACAGACGGACATGGCTAAATCAACTGAGCTCGTCACGGTGATCATTTATATATATACTTTATATGTTTTCCGAGGTTTCCTTCTGGGTGTTACAAACTTCGTGGCAAAATTAATATACCCTGTTCAGGGTATAATAATAATAAAAATTGAGTTGCAAATCGCTAAGGAGTTGTGAAAAAAGTATGCAGACGCAGATTCACGCCGAAGATATGAGCATAACAAAGTTGTGAAAAATCACAGACTCAATGAGGTATACGAAAAAGTAATAACAACAACAGCATTAACAAAAGGCAACAAATTATAAATGAAATGAGCAGCGAGAAAGCGCACTTTAAGGACAACGAAAGTAGTGCAAGTGTAAGCAAGCAGTAATCGCTTAAATACTGCACGCACACACACAGATACAAAGCATACAAATAACTTCCCTTTACCGCTTACAAGCATTTGCCTATAATTTAAGCCGGAGGTACGCAGACGAAAGCAAAGCAAATGCGAGGGTTACAAAAACCACATTAATATTAATGGCAGCGCCCGAACAATAACAATAACAATAATAGCAATGATAGCATATAACAACAAAAAAAGGCAGAAATAAAAAGTTATAAAAATTCGCAACAGATCCGGATCCAGAGCGCTGTGCGCTGACTGCGCTACCGCGAGGACAGCTTTGCCCACTGGCAATTCTCAGATATCC